ATGTCTCGCTATTGATCAGAGATCTTAATTGAGGTTTGCCAAGTGATAAATTAACTGCGATTTTCACGCGCGCAGCATTAGAATCACCTGTATTTTGTTATTTCGATAAAGTTATACACGTGAATTCGTGTCATAAAATGTATATCTCGTCAGACACGAGCGACTCTCAGTATTTTTATTCACAGCCTATTTCGAACGATCCTCTGTTCTTTTAAACGACACACCTTTGTCACGCGTGACTAAAATTATATATACTCCATTCGTTGACGTGGCTAATTAGCATCGAAGAAGGTTAAACGTCGCCGCGAAAGATACGCTCGCGAATTTGATATGCGAATTCCCCCGGCACGAGGATTTGCATTCTGTTTTTTTCTTTCTTTTTTTTTTTTCAAGTTTCATCTGGTTTCGAGCTGGCGGCTCGAAACCGAAAGGTGAACAGATACGTTTCCAATTCTCGAAACTCGAGAGTCGCCAGCTAAGCAATTCGACCGACGGCGACGCTCGAAAATGTCAGTATTGCCTATTTTTCGTATTAAAATGTCGTTGCCGCATCGAGCTTCGCCAACTGTTACATGCGTATCCTCCTTCACGATGCTCTTGCTCGCACATTTCCTCCTCTTCTTTTCTTTTTTTTTCTTTTTCTTTCGTTTCTGTATTTTTCGCTTCTGTCATTTCCATCAAGAAACAAACAAGACGAAAAAAGAAGAAAGAAATATTCCGTTCGTAATTTATTTTCTTTGAATCAGCCACCTTACAGTTCCTTTCACAGAATTCTATCTTTGATCTTTCCTGAAATATCTCTCGCTCCGAAAGCAATAAAATAGAATATAGTACAACGGTTTGATATTTCTTCGCCGTACAATATTCAAGGATTTTTTTCTTCTCTCACGTAACGTGTACTCGCTTCTGGGGAAACGTAGATGTAAAACTGATTTATCCATGATTTCTGGGCTTCGAAGTTCGTTCGTACGCGAGGCACGGAGAAACATTTGCCAAGCAAGTTTACATATTATAGAATCACACGGCCACGGGTTAAGATAAAAAAAGTCACGTTTATTTAACCCTTGAGTCACGGTATTTTCGTGGCTACCAGTTAAATTATCGGTACCGCTGAATCTGAATCGCTACGTCTCGCATCTTTGTTCGCGCCGCTCGCCGGAACAAGGACACGCGTCTATTTATCCAGCCATCTAGTCCTGTGGCAGAACGTGTTCTATCGGCGAAAACGTACGAGGCCAGGCCCAATGATTTATCGTCCCCGTAAAATATTCCTCTTGTCCGCTCTCGTGTGCCCGTGCGCTGAAACACACCAATTTAATTTCAATTCTTGCGTGAAATGTCTCGGAATGGTCAAGGAAAATCGCGATCCATTGTTCCGCGCGGAGTGTTGCTCATGCAACGTCTAGTCGGCGTGAATTGATCGAGAAAATATCGCCGTCCGTCGTTGAATTTTAGTCGCTGCTTATCGACGTTTTATTGCCGCGTGAAATATTGGCAGACGTTTCTTCGGCAGTCGTTCGGTTTTTACAATCGCTCTGGAATTCCGTGCCGCGGTGAAATTTTAATCCGTGGAACCGTGCGGATTTAAAACCGATATTGATCCACCGTCGACATGTAAAACGCATTCCTTGTAACTGCTAATTGATTTCGCTGAAACTTGAAAATAAACCAAGAAATTCCCGGTTGTAGTGGATCGAACGATATTCAATGTTCGAATAAATCTTCTCCCTTTTTGAAACTTGGTATTGATTTTAATAACATTGTTGTCCAATCGCTGAAGCGGCGTGTGCATAAATTCAGAAGATTTGAAACTCATCGCCCGGATGAATTTAAAATTTCTTTCGCTAACTTGCTATCCGTTGAAACGTGAAGTAGATCGCAGCGTATTATTTAAATTTAAACGAATCAAATCGAACTTGTTGGAAGTCAACTTTCTTTCCGCTCGAATCCACCGTACTTGTCTCTCGAAACACAGAGAGACGAAGAATTATATCCAAACGCCATGGAAATGGTAGATTCAATTAGACTAGACATTAGAATGATAGATACCATTAACTAAATTTCCTCAAGATCAAAATACACAAGACCAAAATGCTGTTGTAGATAATAAATCTATAAATGTAAAAAAAAATTTTTATCGTAGAATAATACACAGAGTTACGTTTCGACGTTGTGAAAGTTTAAACGAAATTTCTTTCAAAAACAATCGCACGACGCGTTCGTCCCTTAGAAAACAATCCCCGGAAACTGTTACAGTACAATTAACTAAATTTACTCGAGATGGAAAGAGACGAAAAAATAAATTCGCGTGTGTTGAACGAAATTCCTTTAAAACAATCGCACGACGCGCTCGTCCCTGAGAAAAAAAAAAATGTTGAATACAATTATCCCGAAAGAATCCCACAGAGGAACGCGTTGAATCGTTAACCTCGTTTACCATTTAGGAAGCATGAGACGAAAAAAAAAAAAAAAATCGAACGGACGACGAACATGAGAGAAAGGAGGGGTTGAGAAGGGTTGGATCGCGAAGGAGGCGATCGAGTTACACGGGCGCGCGACAATTTCGCGGGGTAATTATATTTACAGGGAGTGGCACTCGACCTACACCCGAGACTACTCTCTCTCTCTCTCTCTCTCTCTCTCTCTCTCTCTCTCTCTCTCTCTCTCTCTCTCTCCTCGCTCCCTTTTTCCGTTGCGCGGCGAGCAACGGGCAGAACTCGCGCGGATCCTGTAGAATCCGCGGCGCAGGACCAGGCCTGCGTGCAAACCCGCGACGCTGCTTGCCCGTCTCCATGGTTACGTGTCGCGTCCTCCCGTCCCTCCTGCCCCCTTCTAACCCCCGTGGACGTTCTTCGGAGCCGAGATGCAGGGTTTCATCCCTCTGTGCGGCCGCAGCGCCGGGGCGGCTCCCGTGCGGCGCAGACGTTCGTGCCGGTTGACCCAGGTCGCGTGATCCTCGCTCGTCCACCGAACCCGCTGCCGTTTTTTCTCACTGATCGCTCGTGTGTCGTCCCTCCGCGAACGCGTCCACGCAACGAGAAGCGCGAGAGGAGACGTACGCCGTTGATTCGACGGGAATCCATCGACGCGCAACTGCGTGAAGATACGAGGAAGATCGACGAGCAGATATAGCGAGTGGCTGAGGGTGGAAGACACCTTGGTGACCTTGAGCGTACGCTGCGAACAGGATCGGAATGAAACTGACGGACGGTGTGCGTGCTTTTTTCTTTTTCTTTCTTTGACGGTGGATCGATGGATCGCGCGATACGATCGGCAGGAAGTGGTCCGATGCTCGTATGACGCGCGGTGTTAACAACTCGAGGAGAAGAAAGAAGTGGAAAGGTCGGAGATTGTGTCGGTGAATAGCGTTCAATTAGCACGAGCAAGAAGTTCCTACAAGTTCCTACAAGATATAAATAACGTGCATGTACATAGCGTGCAAGGTTTGAAGAAGCGTAGATCGCTCGTTTCTGTCTCTGTCTGTGGTGGAGGTTTGGAGGGACGAGGACGCGCGATGGAAACGCGGACGAAACGCGGCTGACAGGCATCGATAGATTAACGGCGAGATTTTCGTCGATGAATCATCGCAGGTTGTTGGCGAGGATCGCGGTTTCCTGGTGGATCGGTGGAGAAGAGGAAAGGCGGTGCCCGATTTTGCGGAACAATTCGTAACGAGCACGGCCGCGTCACGGCGCCGACGTACAACCACCCGGACACGTGGCTCGTCACATTTCGACGCTTCTTTCCTCGCTGGTGATTATCATCCTCGTCGGTTGCTGATTGCGCGTGTGCTTCGTTCGAAAGAAAATTACCAGAAAATGTGAGAAGAAGAACCGAACAACCTGACACTTTGAAATTGAAAAATCGATCACCTAGATTCCTAGATCGATCACCATTCAGGCCATCGATCGAGCTTAACGTAGTAATGTAAATAAAGTATCGTACATCCAGGTGGAAATCATGACAAACTCGAACAGTAGCTCGCTGTCGCGCGCTTGGCTGCGAGCAAATTGCTGCCGCTGTGGCGACACGCGCCAAGACACGATGAACAATAACCTGAAGGAGGAGACACCGCTGCGGGAGGAGACCGAAACTCTCTTGCATCGCATCGCGTTCACCGTTTGGCACACTGCCCTCCATATAGAGAGCGAGGTGCGTGGGTGTTGCCTCTCGTCCGTTTCGTTTTTTCCGCATTTTTCGCTCGTCTGGACGGGCGAGCGGAAATAAAGGGAAAGAGAACGAACGAAATGAAATATGAGAAAGAATTACGGGCGGTGGAGTTGCGATTTGGGAAATTTAATCGACGCAGTCCAGCCCCCCCCTCTTCTCCCCCGCCCCTCCCTCCTCCCACACCTCGTCGCGAGGGTGGCCGCGAAACTGGAAATTTGTTTTCACAGGCCATTTGGGATTTACGCGAATCGTAGCAAACGAGAATCGATGCTGTTTATTATCAGACGCGTACCGCGCGTCGGCCCGAATTTACGCAACAGCTGTTTTCAGCCCGAACAATGGAAATAATTTACGCGCGGTATTTGCTATCGTTTCTGCGCCGCGACAGCCAAGCCATTTCCTTTCGCGACGCACTTAATCCTTGGACAGCAATGACAAAGTCGTATAAGAGAGTAGAATTAAATAGAATTTTAGGTAGAATGTAATAAATTTACATTGTTGTAGATGTGACGACAATACTTGTAATTTACAGTTAAATGAAAGCAGTTAAAGTTAACACGAAAGATAAAATCTGATAAAAATTTTTTCGTACGTAGAAATGAGAGAGTATTGATATCAATCGTTATTAGAGCAACTCTCAAGAATATTAAGATTGAGAGTAAAATCTGACGTAACCTCCACGGTAAAACTATCCAACATGATGCTGCTCCAAGGGTGTACTCGTTAAGAGCTGTTTCTTTCCTCCTTTCATATTCTTTCGTATAATATATCGTACGTACACGCAACGAGAATATATAAATCAGTATTTTTTTTCCTCTTCTCTGTTGCAGCATAATGGCGGTTACGAGGCACAGCCGAAGAATGTTAACACCATATCGAGAAGCAAGCAACTGCAGCAGGTAAAACATCAACTTCTTTCCTTATCCCGCAATAAGTTCTCGCTATTCTGCGAGAATACACTTTCGTTGTAAATCCGATTCACGAAGAAACCGCCGCGTGTAATTGAGAATTTCTGCTTTTTTGTTTCGCGCGAAAATTGTGGTCGTGCGTGGCCCATGAATTATTCATCGGAATCCCGGCTGCCGTGTCTGCTAATTAGAGTCGATTCTAATTTCACCCCTCGCCGGCTCTTTGCAGCTTCTACAAGGAAAACCACTACATTGATAATGAAATTGAATGCGCACTTCGATCTAACTCCAAACGTTTCGTTCCCGCTTTCTCGAAGAAAGAGAAACACAAATTCAAGAAAATGGAAGTTTCGCGTCGGATATTCCAAAAATCTCCTTCTGAAAATTGTCTGAACTTGCCAGAAGTACCTCGAATACTCTTAACCTCTTAAAAATTCACGTGTAAAATCGGACAAGTGGATTCGATCGATCAACACGATCGCGTTCGCTACAATTTTATTCCAATAAACGGACTTCTGGCTACGAAAGATTTTTATTGGCTTGCTCGAGGCGGAGCAGTCTCTTGAATTTAATCGTCGCCATTCGTCGCGACCGCGTTGAAAAAAAAAAGAAAAAGAAAAAGAAAAAGGAGAGAAAACGCAGCACGGTACGATTGTTATGCTAAGTGGCCTGCCACGTAGCCACGGGCCTTATCGGCTGGCCGATAAGAAATCGCGATTTACGCCGCTGGCGAACTCTAAATATTTGATATTAAAGCAACGGAGCGTGATACGTTAAGGAACTACGAGGAAGTGGCGTTTTATTGCCGGCGGAGGGTACGAGAGTGAGTCGATTGCATCAGGCGGGTGCAGTTCTTCGTTTAGTCCGCGGGAAAACACGGTCGGTCGCCCTATTTACATTCGGAACGGCGCTCCGTCGTCTACGGCGAGCAACCTCCTCGCTCGCGTACACGCGTACTCGGTTTGCCGACGATTCACCGTTTTGCCAACGATCGCCATGCGGAATTGCGCGCGGGGCCGCCTCTCGACTTCGAGATTACCTGCAAGACGTACACGCGGAATCATTTGCATCGCGCCACCTGCGTAATCGCACAGGAGGATCGGTGAATTTTGAACAGTCTTGTCACTGGTTTCGCTCGTGATTTCGTTTCTCTGTGGTCTTGCGGGTAATTTCGTTTCTTCATCGACTTTGGTTTTGCCAAATTTGGGAAACTGCGCCAATAAAAGAATACCAAAGCAGTAGAAAGTGTTACGTGAGAGTGTACAGCTTCTTCTTAGAAGGAGGACGCAATTGAAGACACTTCGTAAAGTATTTGTATACTTGTTCGATGGATTTCGTAAGTAATACGATTTTCTGATAGTGGCGAAGAACTTGGTCAGTAGATTCTAAACTCACACTCCTTTGTTTTCCACTGAATTCGTTGAAACAGCTTCCAGAAAATTTTCGTTACTTACTTATTAGTTAGTCTATCTTGACAATACTAAAACTTGTCTCGGAGCTTTCGCTTCGTAAATTACAAAACTTTTATCCGTCTGCATCTCCGAACAATGAGGAAGTTTATAATTTTCCCTTAATTTCGTAGATCGTTTGTCTCGTCGTAGGCTGCTATTATACCATAGCAAGATTTCGCTCTGATATCTGAAAATACGCATACACGGTGTGTATGTGTGTACATAAGTGTAACGCCAGAAGGAGGATAAAAAACGAATCTGACGCGTTCGCTCGGAGCGAACGTTTACGCTTTATTAGAGTTTCCTCTTTCTTTTACTTTCTGTTTTTTTTTTCTTTCTTTTTTTTTTCTAATCATAACAGCGGGTAGCCTGGCAGCCAGGCCAGGTCTTTTATGCATTAACGTCGACAGCGGAGAAAATTATTCGGTAAAATGGCAGTAAGCTAGCACACTGTAGGTACGAACGGTGCAAGTATCAACCGATGCTCCACCGAGATAATCCATGTATATTGACGTCGGCCGTGTAATGCATTCGCAAAACCCTTATCCACGCTCGTACCGCGGCTGCTTTTCTTCCGTGAAAATACACGCGCCGATGCCGGAGCAAGTTGAATGCAAAACGCGCAGCGATACGAGGGAATTCCGACAATCGCTCGTAACTGGTTATTACCAATTGTCGCGAGAAAATCGTTTCTCAATGACCTACGATCGTTGGCAATCGCGCGGGAATTCATCGCGAAATTGCTCTATCGATTTCTGTCGATGGCATTCGGTGTCGATGAAAATGCTCGAAATGCGAGAGAGGGACCGGCGCGCAAAGCGAGTTGACAATTTAAAAGAAAGTGAACTTAAAACTTAAAGCCTATCGAGGACTGAACAATATAAAATCGATATCTCTGTAGATTTAAATTTTTGACAGATACAAAGTCTTTTAATTTTGAGCAATAAGAGGAAAGGTTAGAAGAAACTGACGCGTGATTAAAAGCGCGTCTGAGATGAATTTCTAAAGGATAAGAAAGAATAATTTCTCCGATCATGATTGAACGTATTCGTAGCGCAACTGTTGCTCGTTTCAACTGATGGAACAGTTGAACGAACCTTAACTCATCCGAAGCTCGAAGGAATATTTCAAGTAGCACTTCAACCATTACGGAATCGAGTATCGTCGTCGCGTTAGCGAAGCGAGCAACTTGAAACGAAATTACATAACAGCTGACGGATGCAACGTCTCGTTTGCAATTTTTTTTCTCGATCGATGACATGTTTACGCGCTCTCTTGGAATTTTCCTGGAATTTCCAAGGAATTTAATATTTCTCTACTTGGATTTTATGAAATTTCGAGAAATCCGAGCGTTCGCAGTACCGCGTATCAGCTCGTTAACGAGTTTAAATGACAAATTCACGTCGACGGAGCGACTCGCGAGCGTAATCGAGCCGAGTCGAAGCACCGTGCACGGTTGATCGAAAGAATCGAAAGAATTGGAACTAAAAATAATCGAAGGAACGAAGAAACATGGACGTTGGCGAGCGAATAATTTAGAATTGCGATAGTTTTGGAATGCATCCTTTTCGGATCTTTGGCGAAACATTCCGCTATCGATCGGATATCGACGGGTTAGTTAGTAGAGAGAGAGAGAGAGAGAGAGAAAGAGAGAACGGAAAGAAGTCGATAACGATAAAGCCCACTCTCTCGCTTGGCACTCTACTCGCAATTAGAAATTAGCTGGCAGCAATTAAGCGGATTAACGATAATTGACATTACCGGCGCTAGGTTTCCTTCACGCTCCCGAATAATTACTTCCTACTAATGTCACTGTCTGCGGATGAATTACACACGGCTCGTCAATGGACACAGAGAATCCCAGAGAACGCAAACAGAAATCAATTAAAAAACCATGTCTCTGACAGTAAATTCTTCCCCTCCTCTTCCTCGCTTTCTCTGTGTTAGGTCTTTGAACGTTTCGCGGAATGAAAACAAGCTGTGTATTTCGAATTCGCTGTGCACGTTTGAAATAACACGTGTATCGCAACAAGATTCGTTGATCCATTTGCAAGAACTGCCAGTGATTATTTCGTCGGTTCTCCTAGAAATTTTATAAATTGTAGGCAACGTGCAGTTTTGAGAACTTGGATGGATGACAACCTATTTTTTCGCAGATCATTACGTAGGACCATTTCAATTGAACGATATTCTCTACGAGAATAATTAATTGTAATTGTCGTATTTTTCCGTGGTCTTGATCTCTTGAACGCTTACTCTCTCCGCCATGTAGAAACCGCGCGTAAGTAGAAACGTTCAGTCCGTGCAAGACCGCGATATTCACTGGCGCATTCGTTACTCGACGATCAAATCGAAATTGTAATATTCTACGCTCGTTGTACCTTGTATATCTGAGAGATAAATAAATTCATTTTTGAGAAAAAATTAAAACAACATGGAAACATTTCCATAAAGAGCAGACGAATAAAAATTCATTTTCCAGCGTCGTATATGTATTTTTCGCGAAATATTCATTGTGCCGGTGTCCGTGACACGCGTGAAACGTCGATCAAATTTTCATTCGTTCCCACCTCAGAAATTCCTACTCGCGATTTCTGCTCGCGCGTCTCTTTCGAGTAAATTGAAATTTTAATGATTCTGCGTACGGAAAGGACATAGGGAAAGGGTGATGGCCTCGTCAAAACATCGAATCGAAGAGGAAGGGAGCGCGAACTAGTAACCCGGCCTCTAAAAATACGTTTATGGGATCGTAACGCGACTCGCCCGCTTCGACTCGCTCGCGCACCGTCGTTCAAAAGCCTGGTGTAATTCGAACGAAAAATTTCAGAAAGAAATATCTACACTTTGCAATAATGTTACTTGTGATTACTTGACTAGGCAAAATTTTATGTAATTTTTATAACCGAAGAAGCGAAAGCTACGTGAAAATTTCTTTCATCCCCATAAGCAAAACTTATACATTACAGATAGTCTTTCTCTTCATAAAAATTCTAGTAATCTAATAATCTAGCAATTATCTTATTAATCTAGTAACTATGTCTAGCCTTAAATAATGATACATTTAATATATTATATATTCCATTTAGTTCATTTCATCGATCCTTTAATTTAACCCCTTGCGCTGACAACTGGTTCGCGGACCATAACGAGTGACCGAACCGTATACAATAATTTCTCGCTTTTTCTTTTGAACTTGTCGGTACGATATCATAGAAATTATTAAGAAGTAATAAACTGGATAGAAATTATTAAGAAGTAATAAACTTATCACTTAAATATACTTAAAACTGAGAAAACGTTGCAATTTTGCAAAGAATTCTCGACATGCGTGGCACGTCATTCCAGCGCAAGAGGTTAAAAAGAACGTACAGTGTCTACACTCGCTTAGTTGAGATTCGACAAATTTATCTGTCTATTGATCCCCATCAATGGTGAACGATTCCTTCGATTTCAATTGCATGAATTTGGACGCGTATCTACGAAGATTTGCAAACGCTCGAATACTTACGAAAGTGCGCAGTGTACCGGTCCGCCACGATCATAAATCGCTCCCGGCGTTGGGTCTCACGTGTGAAATTACCATTACACCTACCAGCACGGTCCTACCGCAGCTGTCGTTTCCTGAAAGCTCGGCCTACCACGGCACGCCGCCACGGTGTCCTTCGTATTTCTCACGCTTGCTCAGGATTCGAGGATCGACGGGGGGTCTTTCGTACACACGCACGTCCTTTTTCGCGGTTGAATCCACCGCGCGATTTGTCAGACGTCACGCGCGAATAAGTCGTAATATCGTCTGACGGCGGGCTGATTTTTCATCGAGGATCTGAAAACGGGTAAACTCCGTCGGCGGCCGTTCCTCCGTGATAACGGTATCTTTTCTTCTTCGTTCTGCTGAATTATTCCTCGGCATGACGAGGGAAATGGACGTTTCGCAGATAGGAAGTGGCGGACGCTGCTCCTTTTCAAGGAAGTTTATGATTCTCTGCTGGTAATTTCTCCGAAGGTAGCTTTATCGATAAAATCACGGTGTACTCCGTGCCGTGGCGCGTGAGATATTTCTCCGACGCGCGGAAGAATAATATCGTCGCTCGAGTCTTTGTGGGAAATAGCGGGTTACACCGATAAGATTTTCAAATAGTAATGAAAGAGTAATAACGTTTTCAAAGTTTTCAAGTTCATCTCTAAAACATACCGTACAAAATTCCATCGAGACACTCGATATATCCACTCGTTCGATATATCCAACTGGAATTACACCCGCTCCCGACAGCGATCTCGACGAAGACTCGACGCAATTTGCGGACAAGGAGCTTATTCATATCTCTTCGTCGACGCGAATTTTTCCACACGTCGCCCTTGATGTCGAGTTACCCGCACACCGTCCCGCCGCGGTTTATCACGTTCCTCCCGGTGTAGTTCCGCGCTGCTCGCTAATGCGAGCCTCGCGCTCGTCCAACGAGCGAGCGTGACTTTGACTGAAATCACGCTACCTGGACGAATTCGTTACATCATACGTGCACGAGAAATCGCATTGCACGAGCCGGTAGGAGGAAGGGGAATAGCTGGACGTCAGCTGTGCAAGTAGAGACCGTGGTTAGACTCGATCAGGACAGGACGTCGTGAATTCAGCGGAATCGAGAGAAGCGTACAATAGTCGGCAGTCTGTCATTCCATCGTGCCGTGTCTTCCTCGCGTTCTTCTTCGTCGACTTCCCGACCGAGATAAAAGCGTCGTGTTAAAACCGAGGGGATTTCATGTCGATTCGTTGGGACAAAGCGATTTCCACAAGGGCACCGCCATGCCGGATCACATCGCCGTCATCAGGATCTTCTACGCGCCGAAATATTCGAAGGTTCTTTGTTATAGGAAAAAAATAAGAAAAAAACGATAAGAATCGATTAAATTAATATTCTCGAAATGGCGAAGAGAGTGACCGCTTTCGTATGAAAGACGGAGAAAATTTAACTTATCTCTCCAATATCCTGAATTTAAAATAAGCCATTTCGAGGCAGAAAGAAGGAGCATTTTGTAGGGAAGCGGGCAGAGTGCACGTTTTGGCGGCTGTGTTTACTGGAGAATCGAAGAGGAAATTTTACGAAGAGCGTTACGAGTCGCGAGTCATCTTTCTTTCTCCGTGAAAGAGGAATATAAATTGAATAGCAAAGTGAGCAAAGTGCTTCATGAATCACCTTTCCAGTGAATTTTGGGCAAAAGGGACCACCACCCCCCGTGAAAGTGTAGCGAAATTTCCTTTCCTAAAAAGCTGCAAAATTTCAGCGGACGAACGTTCCTAGCACTTTGGAAGAACTTCACAAGCGAGAAAAGGGGGAAAATTAAAATTCGGTTCTGTGAATTTGATTTCGCGAGCGAACGTATTTTAATTGAGAACGGTCGTGTTTCAGGTACAGACGTCCTTGTCGGCGACGACGCCCGCGAGGACGCCGGGCGTCGGCGCGGACGCGACGACGACAGGATCTGGAAAGGGCGGAGGTCGCGTGACAGAAGTAATGGAACTTTGTTACGTCACCGAAAGAATCATTGCACTCTGGTACAGGGAGGATGCGCAGGGAGTCCTTGAACATGCTACCGCACTCCTGCGAGGGAAGCACGGTGATAATTATATGGTGAGCGGCGAGTTAATGACTGTTGATTGATGGTCGCGTTTCTTTTTTTTTTTTTTTTTATTAAATAACAATCCTCCGTTAAACGAGAACTGGTTTACAACATTATCAATAAGATACGCTTTGTACGTTCTAATCAGCGTCGAATTAACGCACTTTAACTTCTTGCGCTGGCAACTGGTTCGCGGACCATAACGAGTGACCGAATCGTACACAATAATTTGTCGCCTTCTTTTTCTTTTCAACTCGTCGGTATCTCACTGAGTAGAAATTATTTGAGAAGTAACAAACTTGTCGTTTCTTTTGCCTAGGCTACATTTAAATATACTTCAAACTGAGAAAATGTTGCACTTTGAAACAAAGAATTCTCGACGCGTGTGCACGTCATTCCAACGCAAGTGGTTAATATCGGTCTTTATGTAGACAAAGATTCATATATCCTTCGCGATTTTAAAGCGACGTTTGCTTCGCAGAATTTCGCTTGTTTCGTCATTCTAAACTTGTTACTATCGTGCGCGAGAATCCACCAGCAGCCCTTTCAGCTAGTAATAACAATATTAGTAATAACAACTGCGCAACAGTGCCCTCTATTCAATTACTCGGCACTACACTCGAACAAGCGTGTAGCTACAACTTTCACGCAAATTTGTTGAAATTTGCAGATATTCAACCTGTCGTCGGCGGGTCGCGCAGGCGAGCCAAACACGAGGGAGGCAGGGTGGCCGCAGGGTCTGGCGCCCAGTTTGGAGAGGCTGTGCGCCTTGTGCAAGGAGCTGGATTCCTGGCTGAACGGCGCTCCGAATCGCGTGGTTGTTCTCCACGCCAGGTGAGCTTTCTTCCTCGATCATTCTTCTTCTTCTTCTTCTTTTTCTTTTTCTTTTTCTTCGTCTTTCCTCGGTCGATGAGAAGAGGACGTAACGTGTAGAAGGCTTGACTCGGTAAGAAAATTGAAAGCTCATTCCGCGCCTCTGTTCAGGGGGAGCAAAGAACGACTGGGTGTGGCTGTGTCGGCGTATATGAACTACAGCAGCATCTGCGGCGGACGTGATCAGGCGTTGGACAGGTTCGCTATGAGGAGGTTCCTCGACGACAAGATCGGATCTCTGCAGGTCCCGTCGCATCGAAGGTAAATCGCTGCACTGCATGACGATACTCTGTCCGTTGACGCTGGACGATAAAAGCAAATTTTACTGGCTCTTGGCCGCGAATCGCTCGTATAATGCTCGAACGAGCGTATCATCCGCGGGCGTGGCTGCTCGGGAGAACCACCTTGTCATCGGTTGATCATTTCATAATCCTCGTTTCGAAGTACGCGGGTCTGTCGTCGATGCCTCGTCGCGTACAGTTTTCTTTTCACGCGTTGCGTGAATAATATTTTTCTCGTTCAGTGAATTTCGAATGAATGAATGTTCACAATTCAATGTTAATGAATGCGTGTATCGAGTCAGGGACTCGTTTGTTCGTGCAAACGATTGCAATTCGTTCTGCATCGTCCGTTTCGAGCGTGTGAATTTCGAGCGGTTAATTGGACCGCTTGAAACGGAGAATTGTTGATACCTGAAGATCCGTATCTCGGAATATCTGAGAATTGTGTAACGTCGCCCGTCGCTGAATCAACCTCGAGTGTTCATTCAGTGTGAATCAAGAATTCACACCGTCGTTCTGCCGGGTTGCCTGACGATTGCGCAATTAACAAATTGGTGGAAGAGGATTGTTAAAACGTTTCAAGTGGTTTTCGCCGGTATTTACCCAGATTCTAATGCGTATTTGATGAGCGTGTAAAAAGTTCGAGCTAAGAACTTTCTATATCGTAATGGAACGATCGCAAAAGTCCCGTAAATCCCGTGATAGACTACCACCAAGGTAAAACGACACGCGTTCTTAAATACACTCGTACACGTTCGTCCAGTCGGTCGGGTATAACTTGGCAAACATCAGGCTCGTCATGGTCGTCCTTCTGAGCATCGATCGCAGATATAAAACACGCGAGTCTATAGTATGATAACGGTTCGGAAATCACAAGGAATTCATTCTACACCTTCGTTTTGATCCTGAATACGAGTCCAAGTATCCAGTCGTGAAATATTTTTATAGAATAAAAGAAACTCTTCTATTCTCAAGGTACCACTCGAAGTGCAAAAGTACAAGCTGCAAGATTGAGCTCTGAGTTTCCAAAATATTGAAAAAAATATCAAAAAATATCGTCTTCGACAAAGAAATTATCCTCTCGTATAAAAGCCGTCAGCTACCACACCGCGAATCCAGTATACAAACTTCAACGTTAAGAGCATATCGGAGGCGCCGAGTTACGACAGCATTTACATCGACGCCAGTCTATCCGACCGAGAGAGACTTAAGACCGCTCGAAAATCCTAGTGAACGTAATTCCTGTAGTTAGGCCTGTCAACCTCGTGCATCCATTCGAGTACGCGTTATCCTCGCCACCCTTCGCGCTTAGTTTCGCGTCGTGCGACGCTTAACGTCGATGATCGTAATAATGGCCCGTCCAATACGGTGTCCTTGCACGCGAAACATTCCTTCGGGCGTCGTGGCGGTGGTTTCGCCTTCCTCGTTCCACCTGGTTCCCCTGAATCCCTGAACGATCGAGTTTCCCCATTAATTCCACGAGCGGCGAGCATTAGCATGTCGTTAGCGTGGCCGCACTCCCGCGAACGTATGAATCCATTATCGAGGGTCGAGGGAAGAAGGCAGAGGCTAGCTTGACTACTCCGCGGTGGAAGCGTGTATAACGCGCGCTCGCCGGCACCTTAGGTGCCATCGGGGGAACGGACAGGTATTTTTTTTTTTCTTTTTCCTCCTTTGCCGCGAGGCCGGTGGGGATCGAGAGAAGAGATGGTATCTGCTTCGTTACGAGCGACACGCGGGAATTCGTGAGAGATCCGGCGAAATTACGGTCATGAGCGCTCACGACGCTGCATAATCGACAGGTAGCCGAGGACTCGCTACGTTCGCTCGATCGGCTTCTCTCTTCCGTGTTTGCTCCGTGTATTACAACCGAGAAAATTAATCGATCTTTCCGGCGATCGATTAATTCCGTTTCCCTGAAACGTGGGATTCTCTATAAGCGTTGAAAGTATATTCTACAAGAGCAGAGTATTTTTCCTTTTTACACGTCGAAGGATTTTTTTTTAGTAGCGAGTCCTGGAGACCTTTTAGCTGACGTCGCATTGCGTGACTGCTTCCTTCGTAGAGACGGCCACGTACCGTGCGGGTTAATACCGATTGTCAACAATTTCCGCTGTGACGTGACCAATGTTACCGCGGGGAGACATTAAAACGCGGTGACCAGCGTATTCTGAAATTTCATAATGGAAACATTGCGACAGCCGACACGATCTGGCAATTACCACTTAAATGTATGTGCTGGTTCCCGTGCGGCGCGTTATTTTTACAACGTAGGTCAAGGCGAAACTAGCCTCCTTGCTTTTTTTTTTTTTATCATCCAGTCTCGTCGGTAAAACAACACCCAAGGATACCCAAGCCACGGTGAAATACCCGAGGGAAACGAAGAAAAGAGCGGGTACATACGTACGTCCACCGTTTTCGGTAATAATTCGTGTCTGACCACGTACGGCCGATTCTACTTCGCACGCACGCCGTCCGTATTTGGCCAGAGTCTGTCGCAACGCACCGTGCGAAAGTATTGTACCGTCTCTCTCCGTGGCTGCGACATATCGCGTGCTAATTAGTGTCTGGCCACGAATGGACTTTTCTACTTCTCGCGTACAAGTCGCGAAAAACTTTCGATAAACGGCCATAAACGGGGCTCTGTTCGAACGAAAAACGTTCTGCGGATGATTCGCATGATCTTTATTAAGCAAAACAAATGTTTCGATCCGAAATTGACGTTTCAATCTTAAATCGGTTAAAAGCTTAATCTCTAAGTTATTAATCTCTAACACGGTTTCTCTTTTTTCATTTTCTAACTATGACGATCCACTTGCCATTCTGTAATACTAGAATCTTTAATGACGAATGTCACGTTTCAATTTTAAACGAGTGCTCAATCCCTCTTAATAATAGGCCTGATCAATCTAACTTTTTTTTTTTTACTATTATCTGACAATGACGATTTACGATCTACTCCATCATTCTGTTAGAATTTCTATTTACGAATAACTACAGTCTCTCACCGACAGTGACAAAAGAGTGAAAAACATTACATGAGAACTTCTCTGCCGACAGGTACATCAAGTATTTCAGCGGACTTCTCTCAGGCTCCTTGAGGATCAGTCAGTCACCTCTGTATTTAACGCATCTCACGGTTCTGGGTGTTCCGCTGTTCGAGCCTACAGGTTGCCGAGCGTTCCTCAAGGTCTACGAAGGCTTGACTCCAGTTTACACCTCGGATCTTTATTCCGTGACGAACGCTCGCGAGTTCACCGTGAACCTCGGCGGTCTTCGTCTTCGTGGTGACATCCTGGTGAAGTGTTACCACAGGGTGTACTCGAAGCAGAGCCGAGAAGTGATGTTCTCGCTGCAGGTATGACCAGGAGCTAGCGACAACTTTCTCAATTAAACTGACTCTGGCACTGATTCGAACGCGAGGCCGACGTGAAACCCTAGTATCCGCGAATTATGTTTGATTAATGCACATAAAGCCCATTTCCATTCTCATTTCCTCTCGCAAATGATACTCCAAGAGTCGCCTTTTATCAACTAACCGCATCGCGGTTCTCGGAAACTTGCCCAATTCCAATCACGTTGATTCGTTCGCTTCCCGAGCGGCGAGTAATTACTCCGTATCGCTTATCCAGTTAGAGACCGAGAGAGGGTTGAGAGAATTGATTTACGAAAAGCTAGGATTTTCAAAGTTGGTTTACGATCTTAGGATCTTAGGATCACAGGATTCTAGGACGTTCGGACTTCCGGGCTTTAAGATTTCAGAAAGGATTTTTAAGATTTTACGATCTCTGAGATCAGGATTTGAAGATTTTAGAACTCGAGGACTTTAGACCTTTAGATCGAACTTTGGCATTCTGGAATCTTAGACTCTTAGGATTTTACGATGTTGGGACTTTAAGACTCTCGGACTTTTAAATTATAGGACTTTGAGAATTTTAAGATCTTGGAATCTTAGAATCTTAGGATCTTAGGACTTTAGGATTTCTTTATAGAACTTTAGAGCTTCTGAATTTCCGAACTTTAGAATTTTTGAACCTTAGAGTCTTAGGACTTTGGGACTTTTAGATTTTTAAATTATCAGAATAATTTCTCTAAAAATCTAGAGTTTTAGGATCTTACAATCTTGGAATCTTAGGTCTCTAGGATCCTAAAACTTTAGGACTTTTCAACTTTTAAATTATTCTAGGACTTTCGGAATATTAAAATTATTGAATCCTAGGATCTTAGAATATCAGAAACTTAGGGTCTTAGGATTTTAGCATTTTAACATTTTTATAATAAAACTTTAGGAACTTTCAAATTTCTGAATATTAAGATTTCCAAATCTGAGAGTTTTAGGATCTTAGAATTAGAATTTTCAAACTTTCAAATTTTCAAACCTTGGAGCTTCGAAATTTTAGAACTTAAAGATTTTCCAACTTTAAAACTTTTACGACTCTTATAACTTTACAACTTTAGAATTTTTTTACAACCTTATATATTCTTCTCCTGTTTCTATAGTTCCACACATGCGTGATAACAGAAAATGTTGTGTCGTTTCCTCGATCGGAGCTGGACGTGGCCTGCGATGATCCACGATGTCCTCCGGACAGCGTGGTCACTCTGTACTTCGCCACGGACGCCAAGCGTCAGGACGGGCCGATACCAGCGCCGACACCAGCGGTGCCGCACGCTTCCGCTCATCACGATCCCATCCTCCACTGGGACAGCTACACGAATCTCGAAATCAGCGACGACGGTGAGTCAACTCGTTCAGCTAGCTTCCATTAGCGTTATTTTTCAAGGAATAGAAAGGAATTTCAAGAATTCCAAGAAGGCTGACGATGAACGATCGCACGGAGTTTTGACGAGGGAGTTCGCGTGGAACGAAGCACTCGATTGAGCTAGATTCACGGTAGATTACAACGCGGCCACACCAATTTAGCGTAATTACTAGTTGCTTGGGAGGCTAGAAAAAGGACGTCGTTGGGTGAGGTGGAAGAAGTTGTCGACCGGAGGGAAAGAACTCGTGGGTGTCGACCGCTTTGATTTATGCCAGAGGGTCTCGTAGAAACTTCTTATCATCTCGCTCGTCCGAGAATTAATTTGATTCTCACGCACGTAGAAGTTAATTCCCATTCGACGTTGATGCATCGCGTTCGAAACATCAATTTCAACCGGGTCGTGAGTCTAGCTTCTGGATCAATTGCCGCACAAATTTCCAATACACGGATCGTGCAACGATCCCACGAGCAATACGACAGTAGATCGTGTTCCTCGCTGGATAGAGACATCCGCGTTAATTCATCTCGGCATTGAATGGATTCACCGAAAGGTGTTTCAAAGTTAAATATCTCGGCTGTAAATTAGGGGCACGACGTCTAGCTACGAACGAGGGGGAATCTAAACGCGCGAGGATTGACTGACGCAACGTTTGGAATAATATTAACCGGCGACTGTCGAGCTTTTTGGCCGTAGTTGCCGCGTCAATTCGGAAGCGGACTGAGACGATAACCGCCGGCTCGACGTCGCGCGATTAATTAACTGATAGGCCGAAACTCGCGGGCCGTAATTCAAAGACGACGGAACTCCGTCGTCCGGGGATTAATTCGCGCTAATTTTCGTCCTGACGGTAGCCAATTAACCTCGATCTGTCGGCGAGGAACAGTCAGAAATACAACTTGGCTGCCGACGAAGGAGAAAGAAAACGCTACGGGGACGTTCTCAGGTGAACGAGAGGGGGAAACTGGACCGGACAGAGACGGAAAGCTGGTAGTTAATGCAAGTGTATTTAAACTGGCTGACTAACGCCGCCGGAAATACGTCCTGCCCGTGCCGGTTTATCGTGACGTTCGTCTGGAAATAGATCAAAGGTCGAAACTGACGACTGGGCAAGGTCCACCAAGGAACGAGTCTCCTCTGAGGTGTGTCGTCGTCGTCGTCGTCGTTGCCGATGGCAAATAATTTGCGTAATCCACGTGCCTGATTATTTTCCCTGAGCTTCCTTTATTTATTCAGCTGGCGATTGCCTGTTTTCGAAATTTGTTCGAGTGCATTGGAAAGTAGGACATTGATGAAATCCTCGAAAAAAGACTCGAGCAGTGGGAAATTTAAAAGGTGCATCGGGGTGATTGACAATTTTCGCAGTTTGAGCGTCTTTGGGAACCTGGAGAATTACCTTGAAACGTTGCAAAATTGGAAAAACATGCATTACGGATTTCGTTGTGGTAACACGGAACGAGTCCTGCCGATTTCGCGGAGCCAAATACCGACCGACGTTGCACGAAACGAAGCGAATCGTCGGCCCACGCTGCTCCTAGCCCCCGGTTCACCGAACCAATTCGAATATTCGGAACGGTTACGTCACCGCGATGCGTCTGTCAAGCGCCGGGGGAAAAGAAGGAACGACGATGAAACGAGAGACGGCTCGGATTCAATTCGTTTCGTTAACGATCAGCCCAGTGCTTCCAATAAAGCTGTGACCTAAATTGCCGGCGATGGTTACATCGATGTGGTTCGTTTACGAGAATTGAAAACGAAACCGAAAGTAAGAAGAGCGAGAGGATGCTGTGAACCGACGAACAGGAGAACGAAACTTAAACTGGACACAACTGATAGATTCTCCCTGTGCGCTCGGCGGTGGGATAACCTACGTTTCGCGTGACAGGAATTAATTTTAAATTTTTGAGACAATGTTACTGCCGCTTGCTACAAGAGTGTTTTATTAATGAATGAACACAAAAATTTGAAAAAAGATTCATTTGAAGTTGAATTGGCACTTTTGTATTTCGAATGTCACTTGAGGATAATTCGTCTAAATGTAAGGAACGATAGAATATCTCTCAATAATTTTTAAGTTTTCGTTATATCGAAGTGAAACTAACGGACGTTGAAATTGAATTAATAAGTTATCCCTTGCAGAGGAATATCGTTCTTAGAAACAATCTACGAACAAATCATCCACAACGCGAAACGTGATGTTTAAATTTGCATTAATCGTGATAATAACAACGAAGATTCGTGTGTGTGTGTGTGTTTTTTTTTTTGGTCAGAACCGAATAGAAATCAATCTCGCCGCGTGATAACTATTCAATTTTGTGACAATTCACTTTTGGCGGGGAAAAATGTAAACGTTTGGTCACTGTCACGGCGTGGAATCGATTGTATCGGTTTCATTTTCGGCGGTGCATTTATATTCCGTCAGTCCGATGCGGATTTTCTTCCTGTTATTGACGTGCCGCGTCACACTGCCAACAGTTTTTCATTTCTCCCTTGTCTCGGTTATCCGGATGTATATATCGAAATGGGCCTTCGATAAATGGCACCTGATTGCAGGGACGGACTTTTCATATACACCCTCCCGTCGTAATTGAAAACGCACTGAACCGCCGTGCATCGTAAATTCATGAATTTCCGCGATAGCAGTTTATCGCTACTTTTGACGTGGAAACCTTGCGGTCTACTAACTCTTCCACCTGCCATTCCACCGGAGATAGCAGCGTGATGCATTAATCTCTCGGAGTTCTTTCGCTCGCGTGTGTTTTTCTGTCGTTGGGAAATGGGGTAACTATCTGAAAATAGTTCTATTAAAATTATCTCTTCGTCTGGTTCGTTTTCGAGCAGAACGAATTTCTCCTTCTTGATGTTGGAATATCTTTTGTCCCAAAATATTAATTTCATCTTCAATCCTCTATAAGGTAAAGTAAAGTAGCAACTGTGACCAAACAATAATCTATCGGACTGTTACAAATTTTTTCCATTTCTTGAAACTTCACAAAATTACAGAATCTTTCTGATCGCGAAGATGAAATTTGCAAAAGAGAAAAGAAGATTGTTTCTTCCATTCTCCTTTTGTGAAGACACCGAGAAGCAGCGTGAAACAGAGCCATGAAAAATTGAAGGTTCGCAAACCGGATTGAGATCGGCAAGCAAAGAAGGAAAGACTGTTATCGCTTGGTATTTGTTTTTACGCATTTTAATGGAAAGTATAGTGGACGTTGGGATCGAGCTTTGAAGGAGGGGGAAAAGATAAGAGGACGTTACGCGAACCCACACGATGCACCCACGCGATAGAAAATAGGATTCCAAGAGCGCTGTTCTCGCTTTACAAACGATCGACTTTAACGACTCGATGAGCCACGTGATCTATGAGCCAAACGCGGAAACCTCTTCGAATGTTCTTCCACTGAAATACTTTTGCACACGTTTGCGACTTCCGGGACGCCTCTGACTCTTCTATCTTTCCTTCCGCCAACTTCAGCGATCTTACGCGATAATTTGTGAGATTTCTATTTATTGTTTCGTGATATTTAAAACATTTCTCCTCGTTCGAGACACGACAAATGTACTTTGAAGTTCAATGGGAAACCACTGTCCTTTCACGGGATTTTTGTCTTTTTTCAAAATTCTGGCAGCCACCTTTACCATCTGATTGAAACATTCGCGAAGATTAGATACAGTCGATTTTTTTTTTTTTTTGGAAAGGAACTCTTCGCTCAGGGAACGATGAGTTTTATTGCGTTTGCTCTATCGATCTCGCTCGCACAACGGAGTGGGACAACAGGGCAAGGGAATAAAGGGAGAGATCGGAGTCTTGTGGCCACGTGGAAATCTAAAATTGAGAACACGCCCCTTGAATCAACCGACAGAAAATAAAACCGTGCCCTTTGGAGAAGTGTTTCTCGCACCGCCGGCGATTATCACGATTGTCCACTTTCTTATCCACCAGCCCATTCATTCTTGTTCTCGGCCTCTTATTCTCGGCCTCGTCGTGATTCGTTCGAATTTCTTAACAACACCGGGAAGATCAAACGCGAGTTAGAGAGATTCGATTAAGATATCGCGCGACGTTCTGGAGATTTTCACCGTATCGTTGCTTTTTTTATTCTAGATTTTTTCTCACTTCGCATCCATGCCTCTACCGATTCCGCGTTTCCGGAAGAAATATATACGAGAAACGGAACGACCGTTAAACTACCTCCCATCGAGCAGCCTCGCCGCGAATTTATAGAAAAGCACTCCGCCCTGAGACTGTTTCCCGGCGATAAAATTTTCATCGTGCAGGCACAGGAATAAAATAGAACCGGACGAAAAAAGTAAAATTAAACTATTATAATTACTATATCCGCCGACTCGTGAAAGTATTCGAACATTTGTATACGGTGTGATTGACGTAACTTGCACACCTGAAGTAACTTTTCAATTATGTGTATCCAATGCAAAATTGTTTAATACAAAGGGAGGCAAAATACGACGTATCAATTTCTCGCGTGTATTAGGGGTTTCGAAATTTTCAAGGTTCGTTTTCATTATTTTTTTTTTTCTTAATTGGGTCATATATTTTTTTTATCGTAAAAATATTAAATTCGAAAAAATATTAAATTCGAAGTAAAGAAAAAGTATTAACGTTGGTCCTAAACCTAATGGTTTGCATTATAATTTGTCTCGAGGATAATTGAAAAGTTATTCCAGGTGTGCAAGTTCCGTATCGCACGAAACGTTTTAAACTTTGAACATTGACCTTGTCGTGAGATGATGCTCGATTACATTAACGATTATTACCGGACGTGCAAAAATTCAAAGAAGACACTCAACATAAAACATACGAAATAATACAATAAAAACAATTTTCTACCCGTGGGTTTCACTTTATTAATTGTTTCAGTAGTTTGCCAATTAAGCGAGTTACGCGAAACAGTGAAAACGTAAAACGTAAACGGGGGACTCGTACGAAATTATAATTGATATTAATTGAAAATC